ATAATTTTGCAGAACGAAATGGTAAACTGAAAATGAACACTAATGAAAGAGAATTACTGCAGAAGCGACAATATATCACTCCTTCTGTCAAATATTAACTTCTCGTCTTATATATATAACTTTTTTTTTTCATCTATTTTCCTTTATACCTTTATCTCTTTAATGCTTTTATGACAGACAATAAATGTTCAATTTTCTGAATTGCACTTTCAGATTTCAATAAACAGAAATTAAAATTTGCAATAACACATGGTATTGTTATGTGTTTGAATTAATTCGGAAAGCAAAAATCATTCATTTTAATATCAAACATTTCTTTTAAATTTTCGATTACTCATGAATTAGTGTAATATATTACTCATTAGCGAATGCAAATGGAAATTTGACAATATTAAAACGAAATGGAGCAAATTTGAGTTCGAATTCATCATTCCTGAAAAGATTTTCATACCGCTATTCAATTTAATCCCATTCAATTTCCCGTACCTTAGTTTTATGCTTGTTAGATATGGTATTGAAATCAATCTCTTACAGGTATTTTTCACTCCTATTATATTATGAAAAGAAAAATCATCTTTTATAATAATGCTTCAAATTAAAAAAAGCGCTCATTAGGTTGTAATTATGCCAATGAATTTTCCTTTTATTATTTCGCATGCATTTAGTTTTTTTCTAATTTTCTCCTTCTTCATAAATTTATGTTCATGTAGTCGTCGAGATGACAACGATAGAGTAATATCAAAAAATCAAAGTATGATAAATATATGTATTTTATAAAATTTTGCTCTTATAGATGCGACGATTTGTTTTTTCGAAAGAAAATAATAGTAGGAATAAAATTAGAATTATTTATCAAAGTTTTAATAGATTGGTAAAAATATCTTCCATTGATGATCGTATCTTTTGGATATATTCTCCTCAATTGTGCTTCCTTTTTTTTTAAATAAAAATAGTTCAAGTTGCAAAATATTCTTGTTCTGACATACAAAATAACTGATCCTATTACGTCATACTTAAATTATCGTTAATTTCGATTAAATGTCACAGTTGAGTATCCGATAATAATTCATACTAATAAGCAATTTTAACGCAGAAATACTTTCGGTAAAGTAGAAAAATTCATGCTTTAAGGGAAGTATACAATCGTTTGCAACACCAAAAAGAACACAATCGAAATTTGCAAAGTCAATGAAAATTAAAAATTGTTTTTAGCGAGGAGCAACACTTTTAACTCATATGAAAAGTATTATGAAGTGATGCGTGACGAATTTCATACTCCACTATTATTAAATGGAAATGAGCAACTCTTTCAGCAACAACTTCCCTAAGCATTTTTATTTGTTGCTAAAAAAAAAATTATTTCGAATATGTAAATTCTGTTCTTTCCAGGAATCAGAAACATTCTTCATTTAACAATTTTATGAATGAAGTAATACTATTCAAATTATGCTTTTTTCGTTTAATTAACTTTGGCTAGAATCATTTGATAAAATATCTTTTTAAAATTTTCAATCACTAACATTTTCAAACAACAATAAGCGAAAGCTTTCATAAAGTATTTATAAAAAATTTATTAGCAATATTTGCAGGAAATCTTTTTCCATCAGATTACATCGAAGCAAAAAAAAAATGAGATATTACAAGCAGTTTGAAAATAAAAAAAAAGCAATAATAAAAATTTTTTTTGCATCATTTCTAAATATGCAAAAAAATCTTTGGAGAAGAAGTTGGATGTTGTAGAAAGATGGAGAACTTTTAAGACTATTTGCTGAATATGCAAAAAAATTTTGACTTAGTACCTAAAATACGAATCATTTTAGTGGCAACAATATGTAATGATTATGACATATAAGGAATTATACTTAATGAAAATTATGCTTAATGAAGAATATAAAATGAAAATAATATTCGACGGTAATTAATTATGATACTTATTGAGAAAAAATTTAATTCACATTAAGGAAAGATTAACAATTAGATAAGTTGTCACATTAGCTATCAATTTGCTTAAATCTTTAAACATAAACATGTTTACAGGATTAAGCGATGAAGGGGTAGCCAATGCAAAAAATGACATTATCAGCTGATTTCACTGCCATATCAACCGAGAAATGATTAAATGTATTATTATCATTTTTATCCTATGCAAAATTTCCATCTATTTTTTATATGCATTTTAAAACAATTTCAAAAAAAAAGATGAAAACAAGAACTTACTGACCCTTTTATGTGTTCAATAATGAATCGTTGATTGATATTATTGTGTACTTTATTTGCTTTTACTATGTTTCTAAAGGATTTGAATGTTGAATTTGAAACCATAAAAATGAGTTATTGTTAAAAGATGGTGAAAATTTTTCAAATGAAAAAAAAAAATGTATTATTGAATTTAAACGATCATGTGATGATCTTTTAGTGATTGTTCTACTATATATTAGATATTGGCTTAATACATCGGAATTGAATTTACTTTTTATACGAGTAATTACCAACTAATTATATAATTACTAGAAGTATTTACTATATAAAGGAGCTGAATTTATTTTTCGTAATTACGTACACATAACTATCGATTTCGTTGAAAGGCGATAGTGAAAAAAAAGAAAAATATCAATTAAAAGTCTTCATTACTGATAATTCATAATAAATTGACGTAACAGAAAATTATCTTAGCAATATAATCTGTGCTGATAATATTCATTAAATATTATTCCAATGAATATAATAAATTTTTCATATATGGAAAATACAAGGAATAATATTTTCTAATTATTCGATTGAATTAATTAATAATTCATCCGAAGTTTTCATGCTAACTGTGACTTTTTCTCTCATCTTTTAGCATTTGTTGCCAAGAAATAATATTGCAAATTTCAAAAATGGAAAATTACCATACAAAAAAGTCATTAAAATTTATAAGGTAACATTTGAAATTTATAAGTAAGTCATTGAAATTTATAAGATTTACAAGGTAAGCTATTGTGGATAGTCAATTTTTTTCATCTTTTTTGTATAAAAGCATTTTCTTTTTTTTTGCTACTAAAAAATATATTATAGTGCAAATTCAAGAGTTTTAATTTGATGAAATGACCTAACAATGATAAAGAATTAATTTCACAAAGTAGGAATTATAATGAATAAAATAATCATTATACTGCTTGCGTAGTACAAAGCATTTAAATTTTAATAATGAAGAAAATGAACAAATAATACTGCCATCGACATAATTCACTAAGGAAGTTGCCAGTGCATATTATTAACTTTTTGAAAAATTACCATAATATAAGTTCCAACAATAAAATAAGAGTTTAACTTTTAAAGGAAATCACAATTATTTTCTTATCCTCCCGCGAACATATTCACGCTCACGCTGAAAATGCACTTATCAAACTGAACAAAGGGTGATGTACTTGGATGTAAATTTTCTTCTATGAGGGATATAAATTAAGAAAAATTCTTATTTATTCATATTAAAATGACTTTTTGATATTTTCAATGCAGTATTTACATCTCAGTATGATCGCTTGTGCTAAATGATCAAGCTATGAAACGACTCTATCAATGAGTAAATATAGTTTATATGATAATACTCATTAATGGAATCACTTTATAACTAAATAAGATTAATAAGATTCCTGATAAAATAAAGCTTTGACAACTTTCACTTCCGATTTAAATATGACCTTTATCGATGCATTTTCAGTGATGGAGAAAAATTTAATATTATAATTTTATAATATAAAGTGTAACTGTTATGGTTTTCTTTCATTTCCTCAGATTGACTATTTTCGAATTGTTTTATGATGCACTTTCCTTTGCAAAATTTTCAATATCGAGTAAGATATTGTATAATTTGATTCGATACTAAAATTTCTAGTATCGAATCAAATTACATAATATATGTAAATTTTCCGAGTAATTCATAGTAATCACTTGTTGGTAATCAGTATTCATAATTTCCTAATGAAAGCCTAGAAAGCATAATTGCATAATCAAATCTGGCATACAGCTACATCGATCGCTTTTATATGATTGTCTTTGTTTTTCCCGAACAAATTTTCTCATATTCCTGTTGCATTTCTTTTGAAAACAGTTCCGTTACTACTTTTTGCTTTACTATATGATTTCTGCTATGATTATTTTCCAGAAATCATATATTGTGCTCAAGCAATTCCTGAAAATAAATCTTGCTCAGAAATCTATCATCATGAAGTCAAATTTCTGTCTCTGCAGGGTTTTTAATCATGCTTCTTTGATGAGCTTTTGAAAAACTTGTGATCAAGTAAACCTTAGTTTTTTCAAATATCGGAATTCCAATTGCATGTAACAAGTATATCCAAAAGTTACTTTGAAAATTAGAAAGTAACTGAAAATTTTCTAACTTCAAGTTTAATAGAGTTATGTAAACTGGAGGCAACAACCTGAAACATCATTTAATAGCCAATCTTGTGGTGAATATATTGTTCTCTACGCACTAATGCATTTCCCTGCACAATTTTTATTACTGATTTCAACAATACTAATTCTCATGAAGATAAAGAATATATCAGTATAAATGTAAAAAAATTTAATAAAGATGCTCTCGTCAATGCTACCCACTAATCAAAAATTTCCATAATGTAAATGAGAGGCTTTTTATTATTTCGCGGTGTATCGTGCAAAATGCTTTAAAAAGCAAACAATGAAACAGTTTAATTTGTAAAACAACTGAAAAAAATGTTCTGGAAAAATTAACGAAAAAGTGAAGCATGAAATACAAAAAAGTAATCATCACAAGTCAACAAAATCGGTCAATCCATACGACCTAACAAAATTAAGAAAATCAAAATGAAGTGCTTAAAACGGACTAATTCGCAGACGCAGAAATTCCTTCAAATTTCAACTCGTTTATCACTTTAAAAAATCTGATGCCCTTTTTCAAATGTCATTAAATATATATATGTATAGTACCACGCTTCAAAATCTTTATACCTTAAATGTTAACCAAAACAGCTCTCATTCTATGATGGTGGGGGTGGAGGAGGAGCGGGTGGCGCTAACAAGCTTGACAGATCCATCTTTGGTACAGGTGCTGGCGGTGGTGGTGGTGGGGGCATGAAACCAAGTCCAAGCGACATTGGTGGTGGTGGCGGTGGAACTGGCATAGGATATCGGCTCGCCGGTGGTGGTGGTACACCACCCCAACCACGACCTGCTGGTGAACCCCAAGCAGCAGCATTAGGCATATATGATGGTCGCGGTCGTGGTGTATTGAAAAAATGAATACCTTCATTTGATCCGGACACACCACCAGTACCCAACGGTGGTTGTGCACCACCTTTTGAAGAAAATCCCTCCATACCTGAAATAATCTGTCATGTAAAAGTACTGCTATAAATATTCACAAAAGAATCTGTTAGATCTGATAATTACTTCTTAATTACTTCGTCAAACATTTTATTGATAAATCAGTTAGCATTATTGAAAGCCTAAAAATTCGTTGATGACTAAAAGTTTCTCATCATTAATTTCATTTTAAGCATTCCGCAAAAATTAATTTCAGAAAAATGATATAGTGTGACACTTATTGCCTTTGGAATAGGTTCAAAATTCTAGCATTGTGAAAGATATTTCACGAAGTATTTAAAAAATTGAAATATGAAGTCAGAGC